TTTTATTTATTCAATTAATTTTCTAACAGTTGTCAACATTTATTGTGCCGTGATGCAATGAAAACGTTATAACTTGAGGATTAGAGATAACAATATTAATGACGATGACGTCTTGAAAATACTCATTGCATATATCTATACAAAATCGTTCCCCGCGTGTGTTCTTTGATATGCTCGCCTCTCCTTGGGACTCTCAGTATATGTGACAGCCAAACGTACGTTAAAATAGACTACTGCTCCATGCACACGATATAAATAGCTGGATATAGGCCTGTGACGAGCGGATCGCGAACTACCTTCAATAAAGTTTCCTTACTAACATGTTCATATAAACTAACAAACAAAAGCTTTAACACTGCGAGTTCGATTTTAAAGTGTTAAATCTTTGCCTCAAAGGAAATATACAAGAATATCGAATCAAACTGTAGTAATAATAATTGTATTTGGCTCGAGGTATCAAGGCGAAGGGCGCTGGGCGAGGTCCAGTGACGAGTCGCTTGTTACGCCGTATGATGTAATCGTCTTATTATTGAACTGTTCCTAACGCGACCGAACCTTGTATGGCAAATGATACTCGGCTCGTCCTCACAGACGATACGTGTTCCAGATCATTGTCACGGCCAGGGTCCGGGCGAGTCGAGTCCAAGTGTACAGATTTCAGTAATTAAGTTTAAAATGCAATGTATTATTTATCATTGAAGTGTTTTTATCAGATCCAATCAGCGCTGACCTCAGCGATAACATGAATGTCCTCTAGTCGTAGTTAATGGCTTTAATAATAAACTACTCCACTTCCTTGTGGCGACATCGGCTCCGTCAGGGTTACAGCGTTATAGTATTGACACCGGGATCTATGGAATGTTCCGATCACACACAACACTTTTTATATTTGACGAAAGGCAGAACGATGTGGAAATAGCTCTAATAAATATACTAGTTTCATTGAAGGGCTCCGTTGTGATGCGATTCGTTCGGTCTTTATTTATAGTCCATTGCGTCACGCGTCCCGCTCATTGCTGTGGGAATGATTGTAGGAAGAGCATTGAGATGCAATTTTCCAATGATCGTCGGGACACTGTGGATTACAACAGGTCCAGGTGAAGGGCCGCCCACTCTGAGGTCACATCTGCCACGAAGGCTGACTGGACTCGCTGTTTCATTGGAAATTACCTTGTTTACCGCAAGCTGGGGATTTATTATGCATGTGACAGAAAATCCGTTACCTCCAGGGCTCACTTCCTCAATTACTTTTTATAAACTTTTGGCAATATTCATATATATGTATTATATATACTGTAGGTACTCTCTTGTTTCTTTAATCATTTTAAACAGTAAACAGCGAAGCTTCCCTACCTAACTTATTTACTAGCTGTTCCAAAGTTGTTGTTATAAACTTATTCGATTGTTGCCAAATTTTATTGAATTCTATCTATAGAGTTTTGCTTATTGATGAAATTGACAAAACGACTAATATAATCTTTGTAAATAACGTTCCACCAAATAACGTTGTCTCTTCGATATGTCTTTAATAAAATTCTTTAATTATTTTATTCAGTATGTTGCAGAATATATAATTACGCTTATTCCTTCTAGAATATTCCTTATACAGTTAGCTTGACCATGATTTTTTGTAGGCAAATTATAATTTAATGTGGTTTTAAATTGATTTAGTTTAGGACCTTTATAGACATGAGTGTATAGTTGTTATATTTAAGTAATAAACTGTATAATATACGAGCCACACGCGGTGAGTCTCGTTGTGCTATGTGTCTGCGGTGACGAGTGTAGCGCCCTCGCCTCCGACCTTGCGTGGACAACTTTCCACCCGGAAAACATCCAGCCTTATCACTCCGCGCCCTTTTCGGATACTTGTTTTTTGTTTGACTTTTATTGAGAGTCACTCTATTCACTAATGCTGTTGAGGTCGAACAGCTGTTCATTGTTATGAACTAAGCTTAGAATTTTCTTTATACGTATCACAATACATGGAATGACAAATTATTTTTAGCCAAAGCATCGTGGGTAGAAGTTAAAAATTAAAGTATTTAACGATCCCTACTAATATTATAAATGCGAAAGTAACTCTGTCTGTCTGTCTGTTACGCTTTCACGCCTAAACCACTGAACTGATTTTAATGAAATTTGGTACAGAGATAGAGTTGACCTTGAGAAAGAACATAGAATAGTTTTTATCTCAGACTTTTGAAAGGTTCTCTTGGAAGCGCGATATAACCGAACTCCACGCGGGCGAAGCTGCGGGCGGAAAGCGAGTATTCCATATATTTTATTCATAACAATTGTGACAGTCCAAGTGATAAGCGAGCGCGGTGTCATCGTCGTACCAATAACAAGATGTCTTAAATGTTTTTATTGTTTGAGTTGTGTTACGTTTACCATACAACCTTCGTCGCGGATTTAATTAGGCGTCATGTACGTGATACTGGAGCTAATTAAAACATATTACTCATTACATTAGACAATAAACGTAACCGAATATCTGTTGAGAAGAGATGTTTGGGCTCGTTTGAGGGTAGATATATCTTGGCGATCGATCCAAGGACGTTTGTATGGAGTGTACTGTTGTTGGTTTCAATTCGCGGCCCGTATGTTAATGTAGAGAGACCTTCGTCGCGGCCAACTCAGTTCGTGAGTGCGGTCCAAGGTTCCGACGGATTCGGCTGTTTATATATAGATGTTATAATTTTCCACTCTATAATTCCAACGTGGCTTAAACGTTATTTAAGGAAAATCATTTCGATTTATTTACAAATTTTTCAACAATATTGATTTTGACGTCGTATCCCGTTTACAATATTATCTCTTTACAATAAGCGTCTACATCCTAGTATTTTGTACATATTATAATCAAAACATTTTCGAGACTACTTAGGTTTTAAAAATAAATTTGGTGTTTCCTTCAAGTTCTTTTTTTCCGAAGAATGATAATTTTGTAAATTAGACGTATGTCCCCTTCCCATTAGAATTCTTATGTTTCATGAATAATATATTTCACTGTTATTAATATTAAACTTATCTTTTGATATGAATCAGTCTTAAGTTCATTATATTTCACAATGTTTCAAACTTAAAGGCATCAATGTCGTGTTATTCGTATTTTTGTTTAATAAAAAAAAAAAGATTTTATTTTTGTTTTTCTTAGTATTTTAATTATGTAGGTGATAATTGTATTTATTAATAAACATATTAAATTATGATTGAAATATATAAATTTACATTTAGTTAATTTGTGCCTGTTTCTTAAATAACATTTACACATTAAATTAGAAAACATGAAGGGATTGTATTTAAAAAAATAATTTATTTTAATTAATGTATTTAATAATCTCACTTCGTTCGTTTCTAGTTTGTTTTAAAAAAAAATCTTACAGTTTTTCTCTCTTTGTAAAGAAAATATAAATAATTAAATATAGATCCCCAAATCCAATACAGTTACGAGATTTGGTTTGCACCGCAGTTCTAAGTGATTACAATGACAAAATATGGCTGGCGTTGTTTCTGTTGAGGCTGTAACAACTTAAAAAAAAGTTTTCTTCTCCTTTATAAAACTATAACTCTATCTAAACTCTAATGTACCTATATACGTCTCTTTATATTTTGCCCTTTTTTGAAAGACAAAAAGAATTAAACCTGCCTTTGTAAATAATTTTTAATTTCTTGTAATCAACACTTATATAGTGTTTCCATGTATCCAATATCTATATAAATTATAAGTGATTTATAATGTGAATTTTTATATGTTTTATAACATTATACTCCGTACCGATAATATGTAGTTGTGTTATTACAATTCAATAATGTGTCGCGTCTAGACGACATATGAATGTTGTATGACATAATATAATATAAATTAATTGTATATATTAAAAAACTTCAACCTCAACATAAAGACGGATATAAAAAGCTGTGTTCATAACAATTATTAATAATTGAACAAATTGAAAAAATAAACTGTTTGTTTATATACAAATATAATTCTATATAATGGACAGTTAAATAACGTTTTGAACTTAAAATTTTATTTAATAGTAGAAATATTATAATATTTCCTGCATGTTATATCAGTGTTGGATGATTTTGAAGTTTAAATTGTACCAAAATTATTAAAAATATATTTAAATAATTGATTTTATTAAACTATTTTTCAGAGTGAGTTGCCTTAGTATTAGTATGAGTTAGTAAGTTGTTTGTCGACTGTACTCAATTAACAACAAAACGGCTGGCGTATAACATCATCACACTTTGAACTATGCCTTCGTACAAATAAGTAATTTATTGAACAAGTTATATCATTAAATCCGCACTCTCGTTAAAATATGTTTAACTGATATTTAACAATAAGTATTAGTTATTTTTTGTTTTAATCTCTTTTGGATTGATTTAATGTTCCTTATGAATAACTTTCATGGCTTTCATCTCACACCACCAACACAGGATCTCGCGATTTTCATAATCATTAAAATTTATTTATTCCAAACATTGAATACGACTAACGAATTATTTTGTTCAAATCAAAAGCTCTGTGTTTTATTTAGTGTATGTATGTATATAATACTCACCGTACAATAAACTAGTAGTATACAGAATGGAGGGCAGGTTAAAATTTGAACACATCTGGCAGTGGCTCGTTGTCTATCACTGGAACAAAAATATTGTATATCAGAAACTGTGACTACAGATGAAAATCAATGAGTCTACTTTACATTCTTATAAGGAATCAAGTCGTATAAATAATTGTCTGTAAAAAATCACACATAATTCATTTTAATATATGTAAAATGTATTTGGTTTTTTTAAGAATAGTTTAAAAACAAAACGTTTACAACATAACCCATTATTAAGTTTATTATTAAAAAACTTAAAGGATTTTTTCCCATAATCAGACTTGTATAATGAATTTTGTTTACATAGTTTGATTCAAGGATCGAATTTAAAGAAACATAAAGATGGGGTCAGTAAGAGAATGTGTCTTGTATTCGTAGGTGATAACGAGACACGCGACCGGTGTCCGGGGGGCACTGTACGGGACACTGGTGGCCTTCGACAAGCAGTGGAACCTGGCGCTACGAGACGTGGTCGAGGTGTGGAAGAGGAAGGCTCCGGGGAAGAGGAAGATACCGCCCGGGTTAGGTGAGTGACAGACACCGAGTGGACTATAGGGAATACACCATACGAACGCTGAGTTTCTTTCGCCGGTTCTTCTCAGGTCAGGGTATTTTCTTTTCCGAACCGGTGGTAGTGTCTCAAGTGACCATCAATAAGAAAGTGTAATGCTTCTATATTGAATAAAGTTATTTGAGTTTGAGTGTTTCCCTTCAAACTTTGAAGGAAGTACTATCGTTAAGATATTCCGTGTTGTTTGTAAAGGTACTCCTGTACAGAAAGGTACTGCGACCACCATATCGCCCGTGCCAGTGGTGACAGAAACTCCGCTAGGTGGTGGCAGGTGGGAGTGCACCAGACATCTTCCCCAGGTGATGGTACGTGGGGAACATGTGGTGTTGGTGAACGTGGTGGAGAGGCGGTGACGTCACCAGCATGACGTCACTATAAGAAACATCGTCGAGTCGTTTTATAGTGTTTCACTATTTACATAGCAGTGGAGTGACCGGCAACTATGTTGTAGGATTGTAGAGGTCGCGTCAGGTCGACGTGTTGAGTGTTCAGACTTGAGATATGTTGTTGTAACATACGACAGACATACATACAGCACTGCTTGAACTATGTATATGTAGCAGCGTTTTATATATAGAGTAGGGCTGACTGTTAGACGGTCTCGCTAATGTACTAATAAAATAGACGAAGACAAAAAGAGATGAGTTAAATTAATCTTAAAATATATCTGAAGATATATCGCATGTATGTAACACACCATACTCTCGTAGTATTATATGTTTTTTATGGATGTTCATTTTTATATTAAATTATTTTAGTTCGTATGTTTTATTTTTCCCGTATATAACGTGTCGTGTGTGACAGTCGGATGCGGCGGTTCATGTTTTAATATAAATATTTATTTGGTGATGATGTTTGTTATGTCACGGAGATGTTGATCCGTGAACCAATTTTTCTCATTATTGTGAAGCTTCATAATGAATGGATACAATCCATACAGTCTATACTGTGAAAGTATCTGATTCTCGGACATGTTATATATAAAAGAAGGCCTAGCTAATAGTGATGTGCTCTTGCTAGGAACTGTGGAGGACTAAGAATTATAGTCAAGTTACAGAGTAGACGTTAACTTATTAAGATGAACTATATGTATCTATAAGTATTTCTTTTGTTATTTAGAAACAATATTACTTTTTATTATTGATCTGTTATTAAATTAATATTAGTAATATACAGTGGAGTTATGTTCTAATACTCTTTTTGTAAATGAATATATATTCTATGAAGCAAGTGTTAGTTGTTTTTTGCGTACATTGTCCTTCAACCCCCAAACCTGTGTCAGTAATCTCCCGTGGGCCGCTGAACCCGATCTGTATTGTGTCATAATACATCAAAATAGACTCTACGAATACTCATTATCATCTTTACGTGTTCTGTTTATATATTATTAAAACTATATACAATTAATATAACGTTTTTTAATTCACACGTTAATAATGAATGTAGGTTGTGTTTAGACACACACTTAAGATTCCCCGCCAATAAAATTACTTCCCTTAATCTGTAACTTTTCAAGAGATGGGATACTAAAGACGTCATTTAAATATCATAGTTCCATACATTATTATCTGTCAGCCCTTCGTCGGAGTTTTTAAGAAAACCCAGTGAACGGTGTGAGATCTATAGGACTGCGTGTTGCGGGCCGCGGGGTGCGGGGTGCGGGCGGCCCGGGTAGGGAGGGAGGGAGGGAGGGGGGGGGGTTGGGTCGATGTACGGTCGCCTTCGGTCACCGGGGAGCGACGGCCGCCTGAAAATGGGAAAACAATCGCCGCGAACAATGCGTGAGCTTCCGCGTGACAGGGGCTGAGAGATTTCCCTCACTACGACTTACAACTATGTATTAGACTTGGACAACAGTTCAACATAGAGTTGACACGGTCATGATGGTGAATATTGTTTAACATGACGAATAACACGATCTTATAAATGTTGAAGTCGGAAAATTAACACGCCTAGTATAATACAATACATAATGAGATGTAGGTATAAGATTTTCGCGAGTATTCATTTAAATGAAACTAATATTTTCGGATTTACTAAGTGTTTTTTTATTGAATTAAAAAATCACGTATTAGTTTTTTTTTAATACAATATGAATTATGTAAATATGTGTTCCTTAATCTCCAGTATGATTAATAAGTACTAAGTACATTATTTTAGATATTTTTTCATCGTCACTATTTACGTGTAGTACGTTAATGAATTGTTTTCTTCATGTAACGAACACTGTTAGTTAAAAATTCTCTAATAACGCTTCTGATCTTGTCATCTCGTTTGAATCGACCGCTTTTGAATTTTGAATAGGATTGTTTGGATTTCGATTTCTTCGGAAACGACCAAAATATAGGATAGTAAACTTTAGTTTCAATAAATTCATAACCGGTGAAGTTAAAGAAAAATATTTCGTCTTAAATATACACTAGGCCCGGATGTGAGACTAAAATAAAATAAATTTATAAAGAAAAGAGGAAGCGAGAGTATGCGAACCTTCTGTGTAGTTCCGCGGCGATGTTAGTCAGTGGATGAGTATTAATAGGATAGATGCGTTGCGCAACATGCAAGATGCACTGCGGCTCGGCTGCAACGATTAACGCTTCGTCTACAGATAACTCTCACCACCCTCACATACTACAATATAAATATTGAACGAGCCACTAAACAGACTTTATACGACTGTAGTATCATGTTGCACGACGCTCATGACAACATATAACAGAGTGGTTCAGGTAAGGCTAACGAGTCGGGAGACACTTCCGTAATGTACATAATATATGTACAATATATTATTCAAATTATATATACGGCGCGGCCAATGTCAGTCACTATTCTTTTAAGGCGGCCAGCCTTGATCGGTTGAACCCGACTATCGGCTCGCGTTGCTGTTTTCGGTACAAAGATAATTCGTTTTGGATGTATATCAAGCGTTAACGGTCCGTTTGTTTTAACCGTCCGTTTAGCTGATCCCAGTTTAACCGGGCGGTATGCGCCGGCGCGGCGTCTCGCTTTACTCTTTTTGTATTCGTTGTTACATCTAAGTTCGGAGCGGCTTGACCTATTTACTGCAAATAGACGCAGCCGGGACTCGAACCCGCGCCTCGCACGTGCCGGCTTATAGCCTGGTGATTCATTATTTTACAACATATTACATATAAAAACAGATCCTATAATGTTAAAGGTACATAACTGAACGGTTCTTACGTTCGTGATCCGCGTAAGATTAAAAAATGTTGTATTCAATGAAACAAATTAAGCCTTTTTATTATAGGATCATTGAAATTGTTAATCTAGACTACGATGCAAATAACTTAGTTACACATATCGATACGTCACACATTAAGTTGAGCTAGCATCATGACCATTTAACATAGAGTTTTCGGTTAAAAAATTGTTTACAGGAACGTTTAACCACTTGTTATTTTCTAAATAAACTACATTATGTAATATTCTTAATATTAAACCAGAGCTCTAACTCCCTGGCCAGTATGTATGTAAGTGTTATAACACACTCCTCTTAAACACAACTCACTGTAACCGGTGATTGTTATAGTTTCAAACGATTCATTCCTATGTTACAACTATAACTTTTAATTATTCATTATAAATAACTGCAAATAGAATTCTCAACTTTGTTGCTAACTAAGATTTTAATTTACGCATTTCCATACATTTACCTGATGGTAGGTAATCATTTAAATTCGATCCTTTATTATGATCACTGAAATTTCAAGAAGAAATTTCTAGAAACTTCTAGAGAATTAAAGCAACATATCTAACGATATTAACTAACACAAAGAAAGATAAATTTGATGTTGTTGCCAGTCAAAACAATCAACGGCTTTAGTGTCTCGATCTACTGGCGATAATTTGACAACGAAATTAATATATAAAAAACTGACAAATGTCAAATGTGACGATGACAGATAGTACCCGTGTGGCCTCTTGTATGTGTGATGTAGAGCAGCTTGGAACCTTCACACTGACGCTTTAAAATATAAATACTCAATTATAGTAATCATTCAATATGCTTTGGAAGAAAGACAATTATTCCTACACACCTTAAATAGTATAAGTGCGAATGGCCTTTGTAATGTTTTTATTTAATTATGATATAATTAGTGTGGCCAAAAAAAAGCGAGTACGCGATGTGTGCGCACGCGCATCGCTTTCACCGTCGTCTTCCTAGGTGCGATCCACACACGACACACGCGACACGTTATTTGCCTTTTTAACATAATTCATGTCCGCAATCAATGCATTGAAAACTTTGAAGAAAAATCTTTACTATAATAATAAGAATATGTACACTGAGAATCAGTGTAGATACAAGCATAGTCGTGTAGCAACAGTAGTACATATATATTTTCACAATGGGTAATGTATAACAAACAAGAACAAAGTAACTGAGATACTTTTTGTAATATTTTAGATTTTAAAGTTCATGTTTTAAATCATTTGTATTCTTTTTATAACAACCTAGAATTGTTTTTTATAAAGTGCCTAATATCGTTAATTAAATTTCATATTTATATATTTGAAGTATCTTTTAATCATCTCTATTTTCATTACTCTCCGAGAGTTGAATATGTTTAATGCCTATATCACTAATGAATATATTTTTCTAATAGTTATGTAATGGTCAGGTTGTTTCATAGCGTTTATCCTGACTTCAGTTTTAGCTCAACCTTTTTCATGTGTTATGATCATTTTATTAGATATAAAAGTACAGTTCTTAACGATTTTCTATTTAAAGTTCAATAGCATGAACGTTGCTTCGAAGGTTTGTAATAATTATTAATTAATCAATATAAAACAAGTAATTAAAGTTTCAATCTAAGTTCTCGTTGAAGCGTCGTTGTGTCACTCTTATTGTACATGCAACTTACACATTACAAGTCTTACGACACCGCCTGTATCTAACGCGTGTCATTCACTCGCTTTAATATTTAATTCGTCTTATTGATTATAATTAAACTAAGATTCTAAGTCGTCGGTTCTAATAGGACTCTCATGTTTGATGTTGGTAACAAAAGTTTTAAACTAAAAACCAATAAAACGTAGGAGGGCTCGCACGGATTACGACGAACTAACAATATCAATTAGTGTTGTTTTATAAAGCACTCGCAGTCGTTGTACATGTACTCGTATGTATAACGTGTCTAACATCCCCGGAGTGAGTCTCGAGTCCTCCTCGCCGCAGCACACAGACTCAAACCGTCAGCCATTAGAGACTCGCATGCGCCGGCGCAGTGAAAGTACTTTCGCGGGCTCGCTGCCCCGGTCGTCGACCTCGGAGCGGGACGGCGCTATACGAACGAAAGAGACGGCCGTAGTTTTCTCAGGAAAGCCGTGAAAAGCCGGGTGCTGGGCGCGAAAGTTAGTTCATCAGGAAATCGCCGCAGTAATGTTGGAACCGAATGATTTTTATGCTCCAGCCTTAACTGCTCGTAAAATATTTATGGTCGGCTATTGTGAGGTGACCTGCTTCTGACCGGATTTTCTCGATTTTTCCCGAAAACGGCGTCCAGTTCTCGGTTCCTGTTTGATCTCGCGTTTACGAAGAAAGTAAAACGACGTTACATCACCCGCCGCATCGCGCGGAGGAGATAGCGTGTTGCTTTATTAACGTTTTATGATAACTGTCGACAGTTAACTTTACGCGGGCTGTTAAAATGTTATGTCGTTTATTTTGGCTGCACTATTTTGTTATTACTTTCAGTCAATACGAGGGAGTCGATCCTAGAGTTATATTATCCCCTCCACGATCCTGTACAATGATCGATCATGATGACAGGTTTCTCTCATTATTTTTCCATTAAGGCAAATCTTTTTCTGAGTTAAATAATTAGTCACATAATAAGTCGGTGGTAGTACGCATGAACCAACCAAGTGTCATGTCCCCGGTCGGTGTGTTTGTTTATCTAAGGTAGATATATTTAAATGCTTGTGACTCTGCCAAATATTCTATTGGCACCAACTAATATAATGCACCGGGATCGATATCTGTTATTCAATTTGTTTATAATCGGTGCAGTTAGAACTTTTGTTTACTCTGAAACAAACTACATATAAATGAAACTAATATTTTTGAGATGTACTCCCGACGTTTCGGTTCCTTTACAGCAACCGTGATCACGGGCAGACGAGATGTGAGTGTCTGTCATTCGGTCTTGTTATTTTATCACCTACCTAAACCACATATATTTTTCAAATATACAAGCTGTCCTACACATAATACGTAACAAAGACTTTCTTTCTGACAAGAGATTCCCTACCTCCTGACATCGACATATATGTAATATTATTAACTTATTTTACTATATTAAAATGATCGTCAGCTCGCAATAGGTACTAATAGATGTATCGTCAAGTCATGATTATAAACAGGACAACAGATCAGAAGGTAAGGTGTGTTTTGAATTTATAAATACATATGTACCTGACAATATTGTTGTCCTACACAGGGAAGAGTCTTTTAATCAGCTATCAATGTTCTGTCACACAAAACATCTCCAGTACATAGTTTTTGAATTGAAGTTAGTTAAATGTTTAGTGATATTTCTTATATTATATGTAACTATATATGAAAGAAAGTCGCGTTACTTACACTATTTATAACTGAAGAACAGCTGTAGGGATATGGTTGAACATTGGTGGAGAGATAGATAAAAACAGAAAGATATTTAATTGTCTTCGATCGAAAAAAAATACTAATAATATATCCGATATCCGATTATTTACAGTCTCTAAGGCGAACTGCTCGGTTATCTATACATAATAATAATTCCGAAATTAACGCAAACGAAGTCACGGGCAAAAACTAGTATTTTTATAATATTGGTCAGTCAGCGAGGCGGTCGCTGGTAGACGTCACTCTGACAGTGAAAGTGTAATGTTTTTATTAACACAACAATAAAACATAATATTAGTCAGTCGTTATTTAAAGAATATCATTTAATTTTTGCATTATTTTTAATTATCATTAAAAATCCTTGACGTTTAATAAAAGTTTATATATATCTGATTATACGAATATACAATTTTCCTAATTATTTCCTTTGAATTATAATGAGACTTGTTTATTTCTCAGTCAATTTAAAATAAAGCGGAGCCAACTTTTTGTAAATCTAGTTTGATATAGAAAATTTTCTCCAGAAGATAATCATTATTACAGCTGTACAGCACATGAAAGTGTTTTTAAACCAAAAATGGTTTATTTGACCCGATGTCTAAAAGCATCACAAAACAATACCGCACAAGTTGGTGAGCCATTCAACTTTCAGAGTTAGTGGTATGACGCAATGCACAGATCACACACAGACAGCACAGATGAGAATGAACAGCACAGATGACACAGAAGAAGTGGGCTGTAGTATAGTAGTGATAGTATTAAGACAATAAATTAATTTATACTTTTATATACATGTGTATGTTGATCTAATATGAATTAAAAAAGCTATCAAAATGTGTTTAATGGACCTTACAGGGTAGAAAAAAATGGACTTGTATTAAAGAAAAATTATGTATATAATTGTACTATTTCCTAAATATTTTATACATGAGTATGTCAATAATAGCGCGGGTCCTGGACTTGTTCCCTGTCACGCGCTGGCACGGGGGGTGAGTATCGATCTACGGCGTACTACGTTAGCGTGATACTACGCTGTTACGTTAACGATCACGTAGATGCTACTGAATTAGGTTTCCGGGTGAATCGTACACAGCGAAAGTTTCCTATTATTTATGTTTTCCAATGAAAATGAAAGTATAAGCCTGCGTCTTAGATTACGGCAATATATCGATTATCTTCAGTTAATGAACGTTTTCTTTAAGATTATATTTATAATCTTTCATTTAGAAAACACAATTTTAATGTATATGTTCTTAAGAAATCAATAATAATTAGTAATAGTTTTCACACGTTTTCAAAATATAAAATATAGTGTAAATTATACTATGACCTTTTCTATGTAAGTCATTGATACACGTGCTACCCCCCCCCCTCCCTTTCCCCGCGCCCCTGAACCCCCCTCAGCCACGCCGTGTCGATGATTCTATGAATGGCGGGCCGGGAGAGAAGGCTCCGAATGAACAACAGTTGAGATATTTAAAACTTATTATATATATACCGCGGAGGCTCTCCCATAATATTACAAATGTACAGTCTGAACATAATGGATATATATATATATAAATGTTTGTTTATCACATGATATTAAAAATAACGAAAATCCATTAACTGGAGCATCAATAAGAAACTTAGTAAGTCACCAGCATGACGTCACTAATTAATAATAGATACATATTATTCAAACCTTTATCTATAGAACATATATATCCGAACTCTTTGTTTTCATCCTCCTCAATATTTCCCAGTTCGTGTATCACGTCGCCTACAGTCCGCCACGTGTACCCCCTCCCCCCGCCCTCCTACCGGGACCCTTCCCCCCTTTCACTACGAGGCTTTTATTTATAATTCCCGGTACTATTATAATTACTGTATAAATTACCTCTAATGTAAATCGACGACGTACACTTTAATTTTTTCTAATAAATATATTTCATTTCAATAAGCTATCAGAAGTTTTATTTGTAATGTACAATGGTAGTTCTAAGCTCTACGCCTCGTAGCGAGGCTCTGGCCGAGTGCCACGACGTAGCTCCGTAGACCGGACGCGAGGCTTCGATTGAATGAAGAACTTCGTTGGAACATTCTAAGACTCACACGTTTCAGTTAGTACTTGTAATTTATTAAAATACAAACATTCTTGATTTATCACTTATGTTTTGAGTGAGAGTGCTTCACTCACTCACAAACCTCACTTATTACGTCATATATTTATAATATATTCATAACTCCGCTTATTATTAACATTAATATATAAAAGACGTCGGAAGTACGAAATGGAAAGTTTAATTGGCCATTCATTATGCAAGTTTTCTTATATTTTCCCTTCAACACTAAAGTTACGAAGCATATATTTAAATAAATATTTTATATCTTCCTATTCAATAAACCGATATATTTTATATATGTCTATCTCTTTCCCTCACAGGTGACGTCATTAAGTCTCATGGTGTCAAAGTCGAGCCTTGTTATATGAAAGTGAGAGTGGAAATTAAAATAATATATTATTGAGGATTCAGTCTCGCTATATGTATAAAGGATAATAAATGTATTATATTCTATATATTTCTTATTATTTGTATCAATATTATTATATATAGTGTGACGTCATCGCATCCTTACCGCAGACCTCTCGATGCGCCTTGATACCAATCATAGTAACTCACTCGACGGTCTCACATTGAAAATAATATTTATTATACTATTATTGATATACACTACATTACTATATTTATACCAAAAAAATTTAAAACAACAAAAGTATATTTTCTATTAATAAATAATATCAAAATGTAATACGTAATTTTTATTTATTCCTAAAATTTGACATAAATGACAAATGTCAGTGATCACAAATGGCGCGCTGTCTATTTTTAAATGAGCGAGTGACCTCAGTGCATGAATGTAGTGCCAATGTCACAATATCTGGGTCTATGTCAGTACGGACGGCCTCAACGCGACTGAGGTTGGCTCATTGTGGCCTTATATGGATCTTTATGTTGCTTATGGAATTTTCGGTAGTGATACTTCAATGTATGATAAGAAAAATATATGTATGTGTTGTTATACTCTAGTATTTATATGTAATAAGTTTTTAATCTATTGAAGTCATTGATGTATAATTGACTCTTCGTGATTATTTTGTCTGAATTTTGTAAATTTCCTGACACTAGCGCATATAAAAATAAAAATTTCGATACGTTAATATACTCACGACATGAAACCTTAATAAATTAAGATAATAAACGACAAAAGAACCAAATTTTAGATTACATTTTTATTTATATCAGCAATATCGATCACTTTGTCAAAACTAAACAATTTTATAAAAAACAGTAAAACCAACACGGAGATCCAAACACACACCGGTTTCTAATTAGGTCATATTACACTTCATTATAATAAATAAAAAATAAATAAGCTTAAAATAATCAATAGCCGCCAATAATATTCACGTAATTATCAAAACAGGTTCAACAATTTATAATATTGCAGATTTAATCGGTTCTAGTATAGGCCCAGCGCTAGTGTCATAGCGACTGGCATTGAGCGTAACCTTGTTATATCTATCCCGCTCGCTCCTATGGTGGTTTGTATCTCTATCTCGCTCTAATTGTGTAGTTTATGTCACTACCGGATTCCGAACGCGTTGAGCTGTTCACCTAAAGGCGGATTGTACTCTGACTTTCGGGACATTATGACTTTGACATATTAAAAAAAAAACA